TTAACCAACCTCCGACGACTGCATACCTAAATGAATTAGGAAAATTACGGCAGGTTATCCTTTTGAGAGCGCCTGCCCCTCATGGCTATGCAAATGCATGGTAAATAAACTGTACGCTGAACACGCCTGACGGCAAAATAATCATGCGTCGATAGCAAGATGCTACATAAATGCTCATAACATGCATATTTCATATTTTTTACTTTCATATCAGTATCTTGAAAAAGTACCTTCTTGAAAAAGGTACCAAATGACGCCGAATTTATACGGACTTTTCTTGTTCACAACCGGCTCGGGAACACGATGAATATGTCATCTAAGCGATTTTTTATTTAAAAGTTATTTCCGATGACTGAAGCAAAATGTCGCCAGGCAATTAACCCGCGCATGACTGGGGGGGGGGAGGAGGGGGCTCTACAGAGCCGCCCCTCCCGTTTTTCTGTAACATTTTCTAAATCACTGGACGTATCGACACGAAACTTGCCCCCTCCCCCCCCCCCCCCCAGCGGCCGGTGGGTGGCGCGGAGGCCCAGCGGCCGCCGGGTTAACAGCTGCAAAATAGACTCAAATGACACAGGTGACACTATTTTCGAATTATATGGCTGAAATGGGCCATAAAATCTGTGCCACATGACCGATACATGCTATAAAATTCCCATGAGCTAAGATGACCTGGCTTTGCTCTGAAAAATTCGAAGTGCAAGTTCGTTACGCTCAGGGTATCTGAGGCATATATCAAGGAGTGCGTAAACTAAAAATGAGCCTGTTCGGACTTGTTAGCCGGCGGCCAGAGCCTAATTGTGAACAAGCCAAAATGCTAATAACGTTTAATTTTACCTCACCTGTGGCGTCATCGTTGACCTTGATGTCAAAGTAATTAGGTTTTGCTCGACAGTTTTCCAGGGTTTTCAGACGGTGTTTGAATTTTGATGATCGGCCCAGTAGTTTCGGAGATAGGAAGGGGGCTCTAAAGGGGGCTCTGTAGAGCCCCCTCCCCTCTCAGTCACTCGCGTTATGGAAAATGCCCCTGTCATGCGCAGGTAAAACGTCTAAGTTATGAGTACCAAAATAAATCAAAGATGCTATCAAAAATAATTTCGGACTCAACCATATTGGTTGTAACCTCCTGGCTCAGCATATAGGGCCACAGGCGTTAGAATTAGTAGCAGGGAAGGGGTTACGACCTTCCCCCCCCCCGGTATCTCGAGATCATACTGGCCGATTTTTAAAATTTAAGCGGCAATCGATACCTAAATTCCTATCTGATTCCAGTGGCGGATACAGGGGAGGGCAAATAGATAGGGCAATTACCTCTCCCAAATGGCATAATTTTAACATTAAGCCTATGGACGGCGCATGGAAAGAACCGATAAATTATTATTGTTTGCCCCGCCAGAAACTCTAAGTTGGATCCGCCAGTGTCCGCTCCACTGGATGATAAATTAAAATTCGAATTAAGGTAGGCAGGGAGGTAAATTCTAGTAGTATTTCATCTATCGCTATTGCAATGTTTATTGGTCAAATGTAATGCTATAAAAGTGCCTGTTAACAGAAAATGCCATTACACATTACTTGTATGGAACTTACAGACAGGATACATCAAGTGATGTGGTAAAAAACGGTGGCGATTTTATAGCTGTTACTGTTAATTGACCATCCAATACCACGACTCAGCCTGCTGCTTCACTCCACTTGGCATCGAAACACATGCGTATCACCAAGTGTTTCGGTTCCATTTCACACAGTGTGAGATTCCTCCGCTGCGCTCCATTGGCATCGTTAGTGCACCCGAAGCAGGGCAGTCCCAGTGTTCTGGAGCGCCGCACCAGCTCCTGCAGTACCAGGACCTGTAGACTGCGGCCCCGAAACGCCTCCTCCGTGTAGCCGAAGCTCTGAGCGCCGTAAGCGTTCACCACTGACCAAGAGACCGGCTCGTCGAATGGGGTGTCTGGGTGCTTTTCGTCACGTTCCGTTAGAAATACTCCGACGGCCAGGCCAGCCCGATGACCACACTCTATCGTTGCCGATACGTCTTTGTACAGGTCTCTACTGTGCCACCAGTGGTCTGCCACCTTGGCGAGGTGGCGCTCCTCCAGGGAGCGGACCTCCAGTCCTGGCTGGTGGACCGGCGGCGGGTCGGGCAGGTTGTCAGGCCGCAGGAACAAACGGTACGTCTCGCTTCCATCAACCACTCGTCTGAGTCCATGGCTTTCGGCGGCAGCTTGAAACACATCAGCCAGACCTTCTGCGATGTATTCAACCCTGACGGGCCGCCGCCAGAGCTCCGCCAGCTCGGGCGCCCGCAGCAGGCTGTCGAGCCGCCGCCGGCCGGCCGCGCTCTCCGGGCCGCAGACGTCCAGCACGGCGCGGCCGGGCGTCATCTCCATGGCCGTCACCGTCACCAGGTCGGTGCCCTCGGTACCGGCGGCCAACAGCCGGAACGGCGCCGGGTTGATGCGCGCGCGCAGCAGGCGGAGCACGGTGCGCGTCTGCAGACTGAGGGCGCCATAGCTGGCCAGCCGGGACACCAGCGAGGGAATGTGCTCGGCAGAGAGTCGCACCACGCCGCCACTCGCCATCGTGCCGACGGGCAAACTGACAAACCAGACGACTTAACGTAAACTCAGACTCAGTCCGCTGGCAGCGGCGCAACGAGGCCAGGGAGCGGGATCAGTATATAAACGATAGCGCTCCCACTTCAAATTCGATATCTGGATACCTGAAAACTCTATACTCCGTGGATATAGTAAAACAATATCATGTGCGACTACCTGGCTTTTACCTGGGATGACTATCCACATTGTTCAGTTTTGTGCCCTGCGACCTATACTGTCCAACGTGCGGTAACTAAAATGTGCAGCGTAGCTGCTATAATTACTAAAAGACTTTTACCCAATGAAATTTTCACACTGAATTGAAAAAATTGCACCCGTGGCCCCTTCCTCTGTCTCTGAGGTCACCACAGGTCATGAAAGGTCCCTATAGCAGTTTTTTGACAATAACTTTTGCTAGAGACCTACCAGAGCGATGAAAACACCTTAGGTTATGTTCAGGTCGACGATACAAATCGGCTGATATGCAACATGGCCTTACCCCGTCAGGTCATGGCCTTGACATAAGGTTATATTTCCCAAATGATCTTCAAGATCAGATTATAGCTCATTTGACGCGTCTCGACGAGAGGAGCAGGATGCTGGTAAAATTAATATCTGTCTTTCTTGTGTCAAAGGCTATCACCGAAAAACATTTTCATACAACGACTCTTTTTGGAGTTTTTTTTGCCCTCTGATCTGAAGGCTAGCCTGTTGATCTTTGATCATGTCTCAGGTCTCACTCTAAAAAGAGCGTTAACAGAGGTATCGAATGCATCTTCCCGTGGCGCTGTAGCTCTGTTGGCTCCCAAGTTACGCGCCGGTTAGTGTTGAAAAATGCTGAAATAGGCAAAATTTTACCTTTCATGGCCTACGGTGACCTGACCTTGGGCTCGACCCAAAAAATGACGGAAGCATTTTCGTCATGACTTTCGACGCTCTTTCGAATGCCCCTTACCGCGTGTCGTTACGTTGCCCAGAACCCCACTTAGGGGAGAACGGGGTCATTTGGCCGCACGGGTCACTTTGGCCGCCCCATGCCTACGCGTTTTGACGGTCCCGAGGGATTATTTTTTAATATGGCACGATCCGCCGTCATAAGAACTACTTTGGAAAGAAAATAAAGGAAACTCGGTTACGCCCAGTTTTTTGTAAAGCCAACGATATTTGAATTTGGCTCTGCGGCCCTCAGCCGCAGACGTCCAGCACGGCGCGGCCGGGCGTCATCTCCATGGCCGTCACCGTCACCAGGTCGGCGCCCTCGGTGCCGGCGGCCAACAGCCGGAACGGCGCCGGGTTGATGCGCGCGCGCAGCAGGCGGAGCACGGTGCGCGTCTGCAGACTGAGGGCGCCATAGCTGGCCAGCCGGGACACCAGCGAGGGAATGTGCTCGGCAGAAAGTCGCACCACGCCGCCGCTCGCCATCGTGCCGCCTGGTAAACTGAGACGCCATAACATAAACGGAGTCCGCTGTTACAGAGGTGCAACAAGAGAGCGAAATCGGTCTACGAACGGGCTGGCGATTCAACGTTTAGTTTCAAATCTGGAGACCTGAAACCTCCATTGACTCCATCGATGAACTACAAGTGTGACACTTTTAGTCACATGCTCAAATAAAATTACTGTTGTGTTTCTCCTGCTTCCTTCTTTGTTCGAATGGTTGGTGCCCTACGACCTAAATACACTGCAGTATGCAGTGTCATGCGGCTAGCTTGCCAGATTTATAAACAGACCCAGTGAAATGTTTTAACTGACTTCATAAACATTGGAAGTTCATTTATGTGTTAGTGCAGTTTATTGTTGATGAGGTCTGCCTTTGCTTGACGATATTGTTGCATTACCCGCCTTACTTATTTGGAAGCTAAAGAAGGCTCGCCAAATGATAGCGCAAGGGAGAAATATGATACACGGCTGATGCTTATTGTTCAACAATATGGGTAGAGGGTTGCATGTTTTTTTTATCACATGCGCAAGACACGGCTAACGGCCGAGCTAACGTTTATATCCTACGTCTTGTTCCCGAACCCTTCCAGTTATATTTTTAAACCATCTGAGGAGTAGTGATTAGTGAATGTCACAAATTCACTCAAATGCCTTGCCTTTGATATGCAATACGAGCTACAAAACTAGCAAAGTCTATTTCCATCCAAAACTTTTCTGACAATTTTGGCGCTAAAGGCAAAAACCTTTGATCGAAGATAACGAATGAATTGTATATTTGGTCAGGTATTGACCTCCTCATAGTAGTCATACTCGGATTTCCGTCCAAGACTATTCTGACAATTTTGGCGCTAGAGGCAAAACCCTCTAATAAAAGATGAAGCATGGATTGTATATTGGCCATTGGACTGACCTAGTCAGGTCATACTCCAAAACTCCAAATCTGCAATTTCATATTGTTTTACTCACCTATTGATTCCTCGTGTCAGCACAAGACTGTACAACAGCAAAATGTAGGCGTGGCCCTCAGATGACTCAAACTGAAATATAAAGTACATATTTGTTACGGCGGGCTCAACATGATATATGTTATACCGAGGCTATCCACAGAAGTTATATTTGAGTGGGGTGAACAATTAGTGGGTGCGACACTGCGGCATTGTTTTATCCCGGTCATCTCAAAAGGTCTTATCAAAGGCTACTTTTACCATTCAGCCATATGCTATATGTCATTGTTACTTTGTACAATAACCATGGTAAGTACTTACATACTAGAAGCAAGGATCCTTTAAGCACGCTATCAAATGACCTGCCTGGATATATCAGTGAAACTGCTATAAAGGTGAGAGAGAGAGAGAGAGAGAGAGAGAGAGAGAGAGAGAGAGAGAGAGAGAGAGAGAGAGAGAGAGAGAGAGAGCGAGAGAGAGAGAGAGAGAGAGAGAGAGAGACGCGGCAACTATTTTCTAATTGCTGGCAAGTTCTAATCTGTATAACCTCCTTGATATAAGATGAAATAAAACTTTGAAGTTCATCTTTGTTACCGAATGTCCAATGTTGCACCTGCAAAATAACACTTCATTAATTAAAGCATTATTGTTTTTTACGTATGTGCTACTCCCGTCTATCTAAAAGACGTTCGATGTTATAGTTAATGTTGTTGAGCTGGGACAGTGGTATTGTTCTTAGATTGTTCATGGGACACCAGCTTTGCTTATTTTTATCGGTAGTTTTCGGAAGACATCCGTCTTGTCTTCCTTCATCAGCCTGTCTATCTAAAGCACTTAAAATACATATAAAAGACCAACACAGAAATAAAATAAATGGAAAAAGTATTCATTATTTCTGTGTTGGTCTTTTATATGTATTTTTAGTGCTTTAAGACAGGCTGATAAATGAAGACGTAAGTCTTCCGAAAACTACCAATAAAAATAAACAAAGCTGAGGCCTCTTGCACCAAACTACCTAGCTAGGTAAAATCGAAAAACCGGTTTCAGAATAAGCTAATCTAACGGTGGTAAATTTGTTTGCAATAGCCCAATACATAATCCTACATGTGCTTGCAAAATTTTGCATGCAAATTGTTACATTTGAGACTTGGACTGGGTATACGATGCAAAATAATCCAAGCATTGGTGCAAGAGGATTTTGGTGCAAGAGGCCTCTGGTGTCCTGAACAATCTTTACTAAGAGACGTTCAATATCCACTCATGTTTACGTTTCAATATAGGTAGTCTCCGGTCATACAGTTTGATATAATCTTACGTTCTAGAGCATGACCCTGTATGAAAATTAGAATGTTTGCTTTTGCTTATATAAGAAGTAAACGTTTTTAGGCATTCATTTAAAGAATAAGCGCATCATCTTGCGAAAATTCAGCGCGACATTTGATCAGGCTACCGGTCTAGCCGTGTCGATATCAAAGCACTCCGAGACTGACGGCTAACTCCACTCATAACGCATGATTTTTCCGCTCTAATCTATTCTCACCCTCTCAGTCACTCCATCGGAGAGGTAGTCGGTGTCACCCCAGACCTGCTGAGCCTCCGAACAGAGGCAGACGTGAGCCGGGCCGCCGGCCCTGGCACCCCAAATGACGTCACTGAGGGCACTGGCCAGCCCCTGTAGCTGGTCACAGCGGCGCAGACGGAACAGACTGCCGACAGAATACGGGTTAGACAGGTAACAATAAATCACGTCACTGAGGGCACTGGCCAGTGAACAGCCCGTGACGGGGATCTCAACAGGAGCGACGGACCAGATGAAATGAGACAGCATACCTATGTATATGATAGACGGCGCGTAGGACAGGCGCTAGCCGCTATGGTGCAAGGCAGCAGCAATAAGCACTGAATATGTGTCCCTAATAAGAAGGTAGTTGCACGGCCAACACCGTGTTGGCCGTGCAACTACCTTCTTATTAGGGACACATATTCAGTACTTATTGCTGCTGCCTTGCACCGCGGCTAGCGCCTGTCCTACGCGCCGTCTATCAGGCAACACCCAGCACCCAGAAATACTGAGACCAAAGACCGAGTGCGACTTTCATGAGGTAGCCGGGCAATGGATGCTCGGTACTTTCAGGCACTCGGTAGTAGTGATGTCAATTACAGAAAATCTGAATACCGATACCAGACCAAATACCAACATAAGCCTTGAGGAAATACCTACCGATACCGAACCAATTTCATAACATGAGGGAAATACCGACTTTTTACCAATTTCTCAGCTTCTTATACATCAGTAAGGGCTCATAATACCAACAAAATACCAAGTACATTAGGATTGAAATACCGAATACCAAGTTGGTATCGGTTTGGTATCGGTAGGTATATACCAAAAAGTTGGTATCCGATTGACATCTCTACTCGGTAGTGTCCCTCGTCCGGCAGGTATAAAAATGCTCATACCTGTCGATGTCCGTAGCGCTGGGAAACCTCTGGAACAGCAGATGTTTGATGACCCGTGTTTGGACAGCCATCACCAGAGGCTGAGTGAGCGACTGAGGAGTCTGGAGACCGAAGCCCACCCTGCCCTCTGGCGGCTGAAACGTGAAGCCGCCCTTCAGCCACTCCTGCCGTGGTGGCGCTAGTGACGCTCCGAACACCAGCTGCCGCAGCCGCTGTCAGACACGGGCAGCATGTGTTGTCATAAGCTGTGAGGGCTTCATTATCATTATGGTTTTTACATCGGTCTGGGCCACTCCAGATGGTAAGTTTATCGAACCAGCATTTTTCCTGGAAATTTTACCAAGCTAGCCGTTCACCATAGTATACATAGAGCAAGACGTTACCCAATAGGTACTAACGACTACTTGACTAGACTTTCTTGACTCACCGAAAGTGCACGATGCTAACGTTTCTGACCATTGACTCGACCCATCATGATTGCAATCTGTCGAGATGCATTCACCTGGTTAGCTACTCACCATTGCCGTTTGTTTGCTGAGCTGTGTCCCGCCGGTGAACGGAGGAGAGCCACTCAGAGTCGTCAGCCGCCGCGGGTAGATCACCTTCTCTGTGAATAGTACAATGCATTAGAAGTAGAACTGTCACTCCATGCTTTGAACTAAAGCAGACACTTGCTGAGTAGTTCAAAGGTGGCATAAGTCCAACGTGTTCAATCCATTTTAGTAAAAACAACATGCTATTGGAGTGGAGCCAGTATTTGGCCACTTAACTGCATTCTTGATTGAATACGATATGATTTTTTTTTACGACAGATTGAAATTGTGAACATAATGCAAATTATTCATCTAAAAAAGATCTCAATTAACGCAATAAGCATCTTGTTAGTAGGATTTGGAGCTATGCTGTAACGACCCGGACCATCTCACCTTTTGCCCTCCTAAGAAACGTCTTGAAATGATCGCTGGGCACAGTGGTGGATATTTGCCACGTTTCGGCCATGATATTGACATTCAAGCATGCTTTGATTTTTCAGTTTTGTCTAAAGCAAAATGCATATTTCTTGATCTATTTATCTCAAACGACCTATGTGAACTCAAAAATAAAAAAAAACTTGCACAAACCCTGCTCTTATATTCAGCCACCGGCCACCACCTTCCCGTACCAAAAAAAAAAAAAAAACATGACCCAGTGCTTCGTCTAAATGCCAAACTGCCCGGCGCCATGAGTCCATGGACTCATCTTGCAAGATTAGTCCGATTCGTTTGGTGAATTATACGGCAATTGACACGCAAACCGGCAATTAACTTCCCGAGTCTGACTGCTTAGACGCCGGTGCCTATCAAACAAGCCACTTTGGCCGACTTAAGGATCGTTCAGGTCGTCTCCAAAAGTGAATAATAATGGTGTCTGTTCAGGAACAAACCATAAGTCGATGGATGCAGAAAAAGTTCCTGGAAAGAGAATTCGATTGATATGATGATGCATTGTTATGTTTCTAGACAAGTTTTCGTATAAAATGGAAAATGAAGTCTTCGAAATTCGAAGACTTCCAGGAAAAGTATATGACTTTTTGTCAATGAGGGTTTGTATTAATCACATTAAATAAGCTAGCTTCTGTTTTTTTTTTTTGCTAAATAAAGCTGCTCACGGTACCCTACATGTCAAGACAACCTGAAGTTGACCCTAGAACAGATTACTTTCCACAATAACCAATCTTTGTGAATAAGCTATTTTTATGAACTTCAGTCTGAGCTTCACTATCTGCCTTCTCCTTGATTCACGTTGTGCACTAGCATAGCTGTCACTAGCACCAATATCACCACCATTGCACCATCACCATCACCAACAGCAGCAGCTACCACCGCGGTAGCGACGCCTTCCACTGATCCAGACACACTGATAGAACAGCTCTAGTCCGGGCTGCCTGCGTCCGGCCGTCACGTCAGACCCAGCTCTAACAACCATGTGGACACAATTCCAGCCGCCTCTGTGGACACAGCCCAACCCAGGACGTCTCTGTGGACACTGTTCCACCCGAGCCTGCCCCGGGACAGCCCGCAGCTGGGCACACGCAACAGTGGCTGTTCGTGACGCCGTGACCCGCCCCCGTCGCCTTGGTGACGTGTCACAGAGCTACCGGCAGGGGCGTAGGCAGGGGGGGGGGCACTGGGCCATGGTCCCCCCCCCTTGGGCGCCGAAGGCGCCCTTTGCGATTGGAGGGCGCCGAAGGCGCCCTCCAATCGCAAATGCAATTGTAATAGAATCGAATCGAAAAACAATCGCGACTGGAGGGCGCCCAATCGCGAATGTGTTTGCAGGGAAAAATGAAAATACGGTTGGAGGGCGCCCTCGGAGGGCGCCATTCCAAATACGCACTCCAAATACGATTGGAGGGCTCCCTTGGGCGCCCTCCAACCGCATTTGTAGGCTTAAGCTTTCTAAGCGTAGCGGTAGTCGCCTATGTAAGCCTGTTGATCGCTGCCCTCCTACCCACTGGCGCCCTCATTTGATCGTTGTACTCCTACCTATTGGCGCTCTCTGGTTAACAGGCGCCCTCTCACCCGAAGGCGCCCTCCTGTAGGTCGCCACCTTGCCCTACACAATGGTGCCCTTCTGCTGGTCGGCACCCTCATAATTATGGGCGCTCTCCCACCAATTGTGCCCTCGTGAAATTTGATGGCCGCCCTCCTCCCTTTTCGCACCCTCTTGTTGAGTGCCACCCTTCTAGCCATTGCATGGCGCCCTCTTACCTATTGGTTCCCTAGTCCCTCCTGTTGAATGTTAATCGGGGCCCTTCTACCTATTGGCGCCCTCGTGTTGATCGCCGGCCGCCGCCCTCCTAACCATTGACGCCCTCCTGTTGATCGCCGCCCTCCTACCCACTGGCACTTTCCTGCTAAATTGGCGCCCTCCCCACAGGTCCCCTCCTGTTTAATGTCATCCTCTTGGGCAAAGGCACCCTCCTCACCATTGCCACCCTCCTGTTGAACTTGATCGTCACCCTTCCACTCATTGGCCACCTCTTGTTGATCGCCACCTTCCTATATATTGGTGCTCTCCTGTTCCTTGCCGCCCTCTCACCTGGTGGCACCCTCCCGTTGATTGTTGATCGGGGCCCTCCTACCTATTGGCGCCCTCCTGTTGATCGCCGCCCTTCTACCCATTGGCGCCTTCCTGCTGCTTGCCACCCTCCTACCTATCGGTGCCCTCCTGCCGAAACTCGGGATGTTGATCGGGGCTCTCCTACCTATTAGCGACCTCCTGTCGATCGCAGGCAGCCCTTCTACCTATTGGCGACCTCCGTTGATCGCTGCCCTCCTATAATTTACCTACTCCTTTGGCATGTTTCCCAACTTAGCAGTTCTCTTGCACATATTGATGTCTTTCCTGATTTATCTACTTTGTTCATTTGTGGCCTGTGAAAACTGCCACAAATGAACGTGCATTCAGCATAATGAATGAAGCATACCAAAACTGTCTACGCTCTACCATGCATAAAACACGTCTTTGGTCTTAACGGATTGATCTTACTTTACATGCATCATGACATCTATTTTATATGGATCACGATTAAGTATTGTCAACAGGTTCGGCTGCAACAGCAGGCATCAGTTTCGGTGATTGAAGCTGGTTATTTAGGTATTCAGCACTGTAATATGCATCTGTGAGAAGGCCATGAGGGCTGGTCGAGGTAATTTGGATGAGAAGCCCGAGGAGGCTAATCAATCTCATGAGGAACAGTCCTGTTATGGTTCACCTATCTTTCTGTTGCTGCTGCCTTCTCGTTGTGCGCTTGTGTTTACGCACCTCGCGCTCCGGTATCAATCCGATATGGTGGTCTGGTGTGTATGCCACCGCCAATAAACTTTTCTATGTACATCGTCACCCATGGGCGAAGCTTCCTATACAGTTTGTGTGGCACCGGCCCCACCAAACCTTAGGTATTTTCAGGGGCTCCGCCACGGTTTTGGGATTGGGGGGGTCCGACCCAAAACACAAAACCTCACTGGCGGATCCAGGGTGGCATTCAAGAGGATGCCACCCTGGCCAGAAATCACCAGGATGTCACCCCCCCCCCCTACCGCAGCGCCCGAAATCGACGAAAAATTGCTGTTTTTCTTGAGTACAAAGAAACTTAACAATTTTGTTGGAAGGGGTTTGCTTTAAACTGCAAAACAAAGGTTCAGATTGGATAAGGAATCGAAAACCGAGGAGCAGAGCCCTATTGACACCGACATGGCGGCCTCTAAAATTGACGTTCTTGAGGAGTAGAGGCCAGTGTTGCGAGCTCCAAAGGCGGTAGGTATTGGCCATCAGAGAACGCATTGGGCTCTCAGTGACTGGCATGGGCTTGGGGGACCTACATAGGCCCTCAGGTATCTACGTAGGCTCTAAAGCCAGTGTAGAGCTCTCCTAGGCCGTACTTAAAGGAAAGCTCAGGGCTTTAGCAGTTATTGTAGGGATTTGAAAGCCCTACCCTCATATAGCAACATGGAGTCCTTAGAGACTGACAATTGACATTCAGATTCAGTCTCTGTGATGAGTTTGACCTATCCTGACCTGAAAATGGATATCAAAATGCTCCACTTGCTGTTGGGACTTGGGATTGTGACTTGTGAATGTCCTACCTCAACGAACCTGCATTTAGAGCCCTGTGTAGATTATTGCAGATTACCTCAGAACGGTGTGAGGATGCTTAGACTAGTATGGTGCTCTGAAAGACCGACATGGACCCCCCGACACTATAGGATGACCTCACATTGAAAGAGGATTCTCAGATCGATTTGAAGCTCTCTTAGGGCAGGTGTTGTGTCAAGGAGGTGACCTACAAGCTAGACCCCCCTCGCAAAATTATAGCCAAATTCTAGCATACCTAGCTAATCCTAGCCATCTTAAATGCATTCATAGTAATAACAAAAATGGCGAAATGATGACACTCCCACGTTGACCGGTGAGTGTCACTGTCGAGCACTTTGTCTGCTATGACATTATAAGGGTTCCCTACATTTCTAGATCTTCAGTTCCTTAGCTATACGACTGTCAACACACTCAAAATGCATATAGTGAATGATAGTCATTTCTACGCGAAAACAAGCTTATAGGTATCTGGAATATTGGGGGGTACTGTACCCCCCAGGGAAATTATTGAGGGGGTCCGGACCCCCGCGACCCCCCCTGTGGCGGAGCCCCTGGCCGTATTTTTACACCTTCAAATTTGTTAAAAGAGCGAGAAGAGCTTTGAACAGTGAGCACGTAAAATATGTGCCTAAAAGGCGGAGGAAAAGGCTGTTTTCAAAAATTTCGCGCGCCTTCGGCGCGCACAACAACACTTCTTTAGTAGGAACTTATAGCCCATCACTTCCAACCTTTTCGTCACGTGTCAGAATAACCCGCGCCAGGACATTTCTTCAGACATGCGGTAGAAAAATCCCATATACCACTACGCTACGAGCTTCCGTTTTTTCCTGTTGGGGAAGGGAACTGGGTGAGCGGGAGGGGCACACCTTTTCGTACATTACTCTTACACGTGCTTTATAAAATGTAAACCATAGTCGCTAAAAGCAAGGTCATCAGGCCATGTCGAGTGACCTAACTTAAAAAAAAGTT